ATTAAATCATAATAATTTATGTTCAATGTTTAAACTTAAGTTACCATGACACATAGTAACTATTAATCATATTTGTGTAAATAAGTTTTATTTTATTAATATTTTTAAAAAAACCATAGTATTATAGAAATAGACGTAAGTGTATGTACAAGTGTTTCACTTAATTAAACCATATACATTAACTGTCAATATCTTGCAAATCATAATAAATCTAGCATCAAACATTAATTTGCTAGAATTAGGAATTAAGAACTAAACAAAATAGGGAAAATGGAAACTAATAATCCAGTCTTTAAGCGGTCTTCTTAAAATAGTCTCACCTTATCGTAATTCATGAACAATCCAACCTTTGCACCCCATTTTTGTTCGCTGGTCCCTGACCGGTTGATGACCTGCTATTCAAGATTTTTTCATTTTCTTTGCAAATCATTCAATGATAAATCCCACCTCATATAAGTTTTTAGTTTTAGTTTTTCCGGGCTAATTGTTTATATTTTTCTTTGATTTTTTTAGAAAAGAGAAAAATATAGGGGACATTCCTCAAATAGTATTTAATGAAACTTTAATTCAATTGAAAGAATATGAGTATCATTTCAAAATCCCTTAAATAGGATCAACTTTCCAATTCTATCCTTGTTTTGTTTAGTGCAATTCCTATTTCATCAATAATTAAAACATAAAAGTAATAACATAACCTTATTTATAATAAAAATATAGAAAAATAAAAAAATGAAAATAAGTATTAAATAAAATTAATAAAATGAAAACATGAGAAAAATGAAAGTTATAAAATTAAAATCTCAAAAACTTAAAAAAAAAAATGTAGGCATCTGCCGCCTTTTCAACAACATCCCAATATCACCAGCTCCGACCACCGGAAAAAATGCCTCCGTTTTTTATATTTTAATGTGTTTTATCTATTTTTATTTACTTTTAAAGTTTTCTTTATATTATTTTTTATTAGTATTTATTATTTTACTATTTTAAAAATTAGTTTTAACTTTTATTTTTTTTTACTATATTTTTATAAATTGAAATACTTTTTATTATTTTTCTTTTTTATTATAATGTGAAATGTGATTGTCCTATTAAGTTATGGTAATGGTAGAAATGTGGAATAAGAAGATAGATTGTACTTCAGTCCTATTTTAAAAAAATAAATAACATAATCCTATCTGTGCATTTAGTTATTATTTTTGAGGTTTTGTCAAAAATATATTAGTGGTGAAACAAAGGTAAGAAAAAGAAAAATGAAATAAGTAAGTGTAAGTAAAACGAAAGTAAAGTAAAAAGTTAATACGATGAGAAAAAAATCTTTTATAACAAGGAAACTAGTCTGGAAAAAAATATAAAAATGATAATGAAATAATAAATGAGAAGAAGAAAAAAGGAAAAGTGGAATAAATAAACATTAAAAAAATTGACAAGAAATAAAAATAAGAATAAGAAGACCAAAAGGAGGAATAAAAGATCAAGACGATAAAAATAAAAAGAGAAAATGTTTTATGGAGAAAAAAGAGAAATGACACGTGAGACCGCTTGAATAAGATTTGTGAAAGGTGTGATTTATGGTTGAATGATTTGTAAAGAAAATGAAAAAACCTGTAATAACAAGTCATCAACCGGTTTAGGAACAACGAATGAAGATGGTGTGCAAATGTTGAATATTTTGAATTACGATAAAGTGAGATATTGTAAAAAGACTGCTAAAATGTTGAATTATTAGTTTCTATTTTCTCAACAAAATATTATACTTAGCGATTAACAATTAAAATAACAAATTTTAAAAAGATCGGTTTGTTCTGCTCGGTTTTGAAACGTGAAAACCAAAACCGAAAACAAACAACCACGGTTTGATTCGGTTTTTTGAGTTCTTTTTTGGTTTTCCTATGGTTCGGTTATTTTGGTTGCGGTTCAGATTTTTTCGATTTGATTTTTGGTTTTTTGTTTCACCGATCCACTCCTACTTCTTAGACACTATAAAAAAAGAATATGATCTTGTTTGGAATTGATTATGCTTTTGATTCAGTTTTTCAAAAGCTTCTTTCCCTCGATTTCATAAAAATTGCTTCTATCGGCATTTTGTAGCACCCAAAACTACTTCTCCAATTCCATCCAAATAAGTGGAAAAATTTTAAGACGATTCACATGGAATTCTGCCAGAGTATCCCAAAATGTATCTCATTTTTACCATCTCATTTGTGTGGTCATAAATGGACCAATTCATTTAAGTGCTACCCACTTAAATGAAATTTCCAAATTATGATCAAGGTAGGGTAAAAATGAGATACATTTTGGGATGTGATTCAGATAACTCCTTGCACATGACTATGCTCTTCATAAAACTTCTCTTCACTCGTCATCCTCTGGCGGGCTTTCAATTATGACAAAGACCTCCCGCCAAAACATAACAGTATATATGCAATTATACGGAGTATAAATACAATCTTCTGGATGATGTCGATAGTATGTCGAGCGTGGCCTACTTTCATTTCAAGTTAGCAATTAGGGTTCCGTTCATAAGGTTCCTCTGGATAAAGTAAGTTATTCCACCCCGGTTTTTAGGGTTAACGATTCTTACACAGGGGTTGAAAGGAAGGATGAGCGTCGTCAATCTTACCAACGTGTCGGTTTTAGACAATCCGGCACCTTTTCTGAATCCATTCCAATTTGAGATTTCTTATGAATGCCTCACTTCCCTGAAAGATGGTATTTTTTCTCGTTTCTATTTAATTTGTCTATAACAATTTGAAAATAGAATAGTATTGTGTGTGCTCTGATTTTGTATTTACAATTGAACACACTTACACAGACTAGACTTAATCAGACCAATTAGCAAACCACACTGAGTAAGAGTTTATAGATTGTATTAGACAAGGTTTTGGATTACTCTCATCTTTCTTTACATATTTTCTGGAATAAGGGTGAGAAAAATCTGTAAGATCTAATAACTATGTTCACTGCGGATTTTTTTAAAAAACACTTCAGAAACATAAATGCGGTTTCTCCTTGCAGCAGAAAAGAGTCAAATTTAGGTTCATCTTGAACACCTATTATTGATCTCATGTTCTTAGATGTTTGCAAACCTCCAAAGTTGCATCTCAATGCTTGGTATTACTAGGCACACTTGTAAACCAAGATTAACAGAAAGAAATTTACTAAGATGGCAGACATTATATGGTAGTGAGTGATGTGTAGATATTGTTGATGGTGTTATTTCAAATTCATATGGCTGGCTTAATCCGGCTCTTTTATTTTGTATAGATAGGTTGTTGGAACACACATGTGAAAATAGAAATTTACTAGGATGGCAGACATTATATGGTAGTGAGTGATGTGTAGATATTGTTGATGGTGTTATTTCAAATTCATATGGCTGGCTTAATCTGGCTCTTTTATTTTGTATAGATAGGTTGTTGGAACACACATGTGTGAGGGCCCACTATTCTTGTATACTTTTTTGGTATACCTGTATCATTTTTTTTTGGTTTAATACAGATTTGGAATGGAAGTTGATTTATGTTGGGTCTGCAGAGGATGAAACTTATGACCAACTCTTAGAGAGTGTTTTAGTTGGACCTGTGAATGTCGGCAAATACAGATTTCTACTTCAGGTAACTAGTTTATAGTTTATCTCTCATGTCTTATACACTAGCATATTGTCTTAATGCTCTTTTGATTTATAATACTTTTTGTGTGACCAATTGTATGAACATTTGTACAAGTTTTTATGTTCACACAGACAATACTTCTTTGTGAATTGAGGCTGTTAGAACACAGAAATGTATTCATGTGAAGATGTCTTTTAGATTATTTTTGTCTTTACAGACAAGTTATACCAACAAAATTTTGTTTGTGCGAACAAAAATCTTGTTTTGCATGAACTGAAAACTGTGGTGTATAATTTGGTATGCCAAGCATTAGGCATTTGGATTTGCTGACTGGGTTCAATATACCTGGAATACTTAAATTCACAGGCAGATCCTCCAGACCCGTCAAAAATTCGTGAAGAAGATATCATTGGTGTGACAGTATTGTTATTAACTTGTTCTTATGTCGGACAAGAATTTATTCGAGTAGGATACTATGTCAACAATGACTATGGTGATGAACAACTACGAGAGGAGCCTCCTCAAAAGGTTTTGATTGATAGAGTCCAGAGAAACATTCTGGCTGACAAACCTAGAGTGACAAAGTTCCCTATTAATTTCAATCCAGACAACACTGAAAATGTTGAACAGGGTACTACAGAAATTAGTGTGCATGCAGGAGAAATGGTTTCTTGTACTGACCACCCCTCTGATATCCAGCCTTCATAAATTTTGAATACCAAGAATGCCAGCTATTCAGAAAGTCATGTGATTCAGAATAGGAAGTATTACATGACTTTCAATCTGTATGAGTTGTGAAAGGTTGTATTACAAGTTAGTAAGTTGCTTTAATCTGTAGACTTGATAGAAGTCATAAAATTATGTATTGCAATTTGTAAGTGTAATTGTGCCCATCTTTTATGTTGGAATTCTCTGGATGTTTATTCTTTTTAGCCAAGCGAAGAAAAATTGTGGTCATATTTTCAAACTGAACTTGGGCACGATCCATTTTACGCTGAGCTTTAACGAACCCTTAGCCCTTAGGCCTTAGATAATTGAAAATTAAAATTAAAAATGATGTAAGTGTAATTTTTAGTACTTTTTCAATTTTGCTTACTTTATAAATAATGCTTTTTAACATTAAAGTAAGCGATAGATTAGTACTTAAAATAAGTATACTTTTATGATGTTTTTAGTATAGGGACAATTATTGATGGATTATAGTATTATACGGAGTAAATAATAAAAGGGTCTATGACAATGACCTTAAAGTAAATTAGAAAATCAAGAGATTATTCTCCAAGTAGTTTTATGAAATTTTCTGAAAATAATTGGATACCCATGATTTTTTCTGATATTTATTTGCAATTGATTGTTATATAGGAGTAAAAACAATGACCTAAAATAGGAGATAGAACCATGTGATTTTCCTGATATAAGAGTTAGAGTACCATCTTTTTATCTAAATAGAAGTAATTTGGCACTGCTCAAAGCTACAAAATGAGACTTGAATATCTGCAAAGCTTTAACCTGTGAGAAGTATGCAAGTGAGGTTCCCTAAACATGTATGTGTGTGTGATCTAACCTAATTAGTTATAATGAAATAAAGCCTATACAATTATTATAACAAGCACCTAAATGGGCATTTACAACATAATGGCTATCAAAACATCTCAGATAAATTAAAGAATTAGACACCAATACGAGAATTGATTGCTGATTTCTGGTAAACCACTTCCATGACAACAAGACTACTCCAGTGGCTTCATTGCTGCTTTCTTCTAACTAATTGCCATGCCCATGCGGACAAGAACACCACAAGGGCAATCCCGAAGGATGTCCAAAAAATAATTAACCATTTTGGCATGGGGGCAGGAAACAATCCTGAATGGTTGAAAAACAAGACAAATGTTAGAGGTTAAACTTCTACTTGCTCCACTTCCTTTCACTTTTGGCAAGTTCATCTACATTTTCATCTATAAAAGACATGAACACTATTTTTTCATTTTATCTTTCCGACTTCTCTTACTTTTCTAAACTTCTGCTCTACTTTTTCATGCACTATTTGCTTCATGTGCAACTTTTCTTTTAGATACCCTGAAAGCCTATGGCCTACACCAAACTAAAAGTGAACGGAAGATGTAAATGAAAATGCTAGCTGTTAAATATTACAAGGAAAAAGAAAAAGCACTCACCATGCCCAAACTTAATGCATATTAGAAGTTCAACTATGCAGATGGCAAGTGAAAGCCAACAGAATGGTCCCACTTTTTTAACCAGTTTTCTGAAAATTTATAGCAGCAAAGAGAAATCAGGGAGGTGAGTGTGGACAAAGATATCGGTTTATGGTAACGTAACCTTTGTGGTGATGGAACTTACCTGTCATTTAGGTAACAATTATACTCACGAACGGTAGGTATCGCAATCAGCCACCATAAAATTAATCTACATATTATGAAAGGGTTTCTTGGAGGAATCCAAAGACAGAACTTGAGGAAGAATGTGTTCAACTCTACTGTCAAGAAAACAACACAGAGAGTGAGAACTTGAACAAAACGCCAAGGGCCCAGAAGTGGATGCCATTCATCTTTATCCCAATGTGCTGGAGTGAATTGACCAAGTGTTCTCTTCACCTAAAACATAAAAAAAGTATGCAACATTTTATAAAAAAATATCCATAGTATAAAACTAAAAGGCTAAAAGGGCCTCTTTTGATACTATCTAGAATCAATCACTATTTCTTTGAAATCTCACAACTTTAATTTTAAAGTTCTGGTTAACACATCCTTCACCTCTTTACAGTAGTATAATCTCACTCTCGGGGGGGGGGGGGGGGGGGGGGGGGAACTAGAAAATGGTGAAGAATAGAGAAACTAAGAAAAAGAAAAAGCTAGAGACACCTAGATGGTGTAAATAATGAAATACATGGGGAATGGAAGGAATGAAAAACAGTTTGTCAATAACAATACAGTTGGAGAGAGATTCTCAGTTTTCAGAACCAAGACATTAACACTTAAAATAGGGAAACATAATGATAAAGCTATGGATTAGATGAGACTAGAATCATTAACCAAGAAGTTCCAACATAAAAGCAAAAGTACACGAATGAGAGCAAATAAATTTATCAACACACAGAAGGAACATACAGACTACAGACTTAAAGTAGAAGGAAAATATACTTTGCCAATAATATTTGGTTGTCGGCTGATACCAACCCACTCATATGTTCTACCATCAAAATAACGAACAGTGCGCATTCCAGCCCAAATACCTATAGAGCACACATAAAAAAAAACTTTAAGTTACATATGAATGCATGTAAACATGAGACACATACTATTCAATTACATAATACATATGCCATTATTCAATAGTGAGCATGGCATACAGGTTTTGGAATATGTCTGTCTTGATGCTAGACAGCTTCTCAATCAAAGATCACCTCCATTGTGCACTCTTTTATAACAAGCATTCATGTAGTTAAAGAAAAGGTCTATGATAAACTAATCTGCCTTGTAATAATAATTCTAAAGAAGATGGGACAAAGTATTATTTACAAATATTCATATTATAAAATTGGACTAGAGACTTCTATTGCACCTGTCAGATATCATCTCTCTATAAGATTAATTAATAAAGTTGGTATACCATTAATAATCTAGCCTTCCTTCACATTCCTCACTCTGTAGGGTTTAAGTGCATATATTCTCGAATTAGTTCCAGTCATATATCCAACAACACCAACATCCAAGCCTTATTCCCAAAGAGTTTGGGATCGGCTAACATGAATCCACATACAAAAATCCAAGAAAGTAGATATGGAAGACATTAAGATTCATACCAAACCAATTGCAGAGTAAAATGTCAAGAATAATGCTGTCCCACCAGCACTCATTGAAATTTGGTAGCATATGCCGGAAGGTAAGCTGCAAGCATAGGGACAACAAAGCATGTTCAGGGTATTAACAATAATCTCCAGAGCACTCCAATAACAGTGATTAAAAGGGTTCCAGCAAAAGGAAAGTTGGAAAGACATCTACCTCCATTGACTCAAACCCAATTGATAACACCCATAGAAGAGGTTGATTACGAATCATGATGGCTTTCCCCCACCATCCAAGAACATGAGCCAGAACAAACTCATCAAACACAGTATCCTGTCAAATAATCAAATGAATAACTCAGTGCTAAAAAGATTTTTATTTTGAACCGAAAGATGGAGAAAAACTGAAGTCAAACAAGAATCCGTAAAAGAATATACAAGATTGTGGAAGTAGAAACCATACATAAACATTCTTAAACCTGTTCGTGGGATTTTCAGGTACATAGATTCTGCAATCAGCACCATAGGATCTTTCAGGTAGTTCTGCAGAAGTAATAATTGAACTTAAGCATCACTAGAAACCACTTGTCTAGATAATCAAAAGCCAAATAACATGGATTGCCGAGGCAAATGAGCTGATCCATGTCTAATGCTGGAGAACAATCCCAAATTTGTTACCAACACCAAGATCGGGATCCAGATACTTCATAAACTGGCGAGCGTCATCACGATTCTGAAATAACAATAAGAAAAGATAAGAGATAACAAAATAGGAAGTTGGAAAACACAATAAAATAATTAAGGGAAAACATAACACATTTTGACCAATAAACTTACCTGAAAAAGCAAAAATGTTAATGAAACAAGGTATATGACAGCCATTCCATGAACTAGGCGCCAAATGGCAGGATGTGGCCTAATAAGAATCCTGCAATGAGAAAGTTCTCAGAAATTCAAGGCTGCATATAGCAAATAAATCCTTAAACTCATTGTGTATGAGAAACCCAGAAGACAATAGCTGGTACCTTCCTCAGCCACACAACCTATGGCTTACTCACTAAGATTAATATGTCTAAAGCAATGTTATTGAACAATGCAACCAAAGAGAGTATTTCTCGTTTAAATCTATGGCTATCAACTTACGTCGTAGGGGCTTGTAATAAAGAATAAGCAAGATACACTGTGACCATTGCCCAAACACCCCTAGCACAAGCACAGACAGCATAAGTTGTGAAACTTTACAGATAAATAATCTGGGAAAACAGACAGAAAATGTTATAATAACAGCATAAAGTGAATGAATGCACCTTTTCACAGATGTAACCAGATCATTGCTGGAGGTTTGCTCTGGATCAAGAGCTCCACTTACCCAACTGAATGTAAGCACAAAAGTAACAGAGGGTAATTAGAAAACAATTATGCCCTTACAGGCAATGTACCTTGCATATGCAACAACGAAAAGAAGATGATGAAATGATCACTAAATGTGAGTGTCTTCTTCCAAAATCTTTAGGGGCAGTGGATTAGACCCTAACCCAAATTCAACTTTCAATAGAAGCACATAATTGAACTATGAAATACACGTGAATAAATGTTTCCTTGTTCCTAACTGTTACATGAACAACTAGCCGACTAGGGAAAAATATAATAAAATAAGTACAGGCCGGAGGATATCACAAGACATGCTCATAAAATGTTAATGGTCTTTATTAATCTATAAAAGCAGCAGCAACCACAATCATAGTCAAATGCTGCAAGTACAAGTAACATATTAATAGAGCATCAAGAGTGTGACAGAACAACTATTTTGATCACGAATGCACTAGTATATTACTAACCATGTGTAAGAGAGACTACCAAGTACAAGAAAGTATCACAAGCAAGACCAGAAAACTACATATACCACAAAAGAGAAAACAACAACTAGAACAGATACTTACAAATGTCTAAGCCCTAACAAAACTAAGATGAAAAATTAAGATGCCCTACATGATCTCAAGATGCTACCATTTCAATAGGATTGATGTATAAAAACACCACTGCATGTGCACTAGCAGAGGTATAATGAACTCCCGTAAGATATAATAGTTACTTAATCAAAAAGGTGTAATCTCTTCTGCGTACAGCTACTATGTCGAAAAACATGCTACTTATATTGGCCTATCAATAAACATGTATATTCTTCAGTTATGTCGTTAATCAGTAGTGACATATTCATTATTATTAATACAAGAAAGGATGGCCCCAATGTCCAAACAAAATTGTATTTCAATCCCCCACATATAGCTAGATCAGGTAACTCACATGAGAAGACATGCACCAATAAACAACAATGTAACTGTGCGAGGTTTGTACAGCCAAGCGGTCCATGGGTCCAGCTCATCAACAGAGTTGGTAGAAATTCCGTTACCATTTTGCATAGAAACAAGAATCCTTTGGTTACCACTTCTATGGCCATTGTGATCCATAAGTCTAGTCCTCCAAAGTTCAAATCCTTGCCTGCATATCACAAAATTTCGACTAGGTAAATTAGGAATAAGACAAATCACAATGTCTGAATAGCAGATTCTTTGAAACAAACATTATACTATGTCAGCATTCAGCAAGAAACAATGCTTGCTCTAAATATATAAATAAATAAACCTATACGGAGTATCAAATTTCATAAAAGAACTGAATACATAAACTCTTTTCCTCAATATATGTAAGCGTATTAGGAATTTTGATAAATACGCCTAATATACGCCTTGATATAAAATTAGTGCTCGTGAAAGAATTTTCATCACTAACCTCTATGGTTTTGTAAAACAAATCCGATAATATGACGCTAAACAAAATATCAATAAAATAAATTGGTGAAAGTCCAAAATAGAAGTCAATTAAATCTGAACAGACATAATGTCATAAGCCCTTCCAGATACGTACAGTAAAAACACATCTTCTGAGAGTCCAAATGGGATGTGTTCGAGTTGTAACAATGAATGGTCAAATGAAATGATCTTGGCCAGTGATATCTTTCTTATCAAACCTGTACATTTTAATGCAGTCCCTATACTATACTGTTTTTAGCAACAAATGTCTAAAACTATTTGAAAACTAGTTTGATGTCATCAGCTTAAAAAATTATAGACTGACACCAAGAATAATTGAAAATCCCATTTTTTTTATCAAAACTGAATTCATTCAATATACAAATAGCGCAAAAAGAAGAAGCTAAATTCAAGAATCTCTCCATGTACGGTAATAAAAAAAAAGGGAAAAGACCCAGAAAGAAAAAACAGAGCACCTGAAATCCTTTAATTCAACTTAAAATATTCATGGACCACCACTGTCTATTCTCTCTAAAAAGTAACCGGAAACCCATTATAAGCCACTTAATATTTAAAATAAAGGCATTCCAGAATTCAAAAGCTCAACAAACGGGACGCACGGGGCATGCTTATCAGTGAAGAAAGTAATAATTTTATAATACGCACATCACGGACGGACACGCACAGAGCGACAGAGGATCAGCTAAAAGGGAAAAATTCCTTCAATCATGAAAAAAGGGATTAAAAGGAATGCACTGACGTTGACGGTCAAGTCCTGGTCGTCCGATCAGGAAGAGGGGAGATGGTGTCCGTCGGATCAGCCCGGCAGAGCCAGTTATGAAGATAAAGGGGCCGGTATTGCAGCAGAGGCCGCCGCCGATGCCGTAAATGATATGGAAGTGAGCGGTAAGTGAGGTGGTCCAGATGCGGAAGGAGAAGAAAAGCTGCAGAAAACAACAAATCTCTCGTGTAAAAGGAATCGTACACCTGGGGAGGGTAGAGAGTGGTCACTACAGTTCTCTGGCAATTGGCAGATCAGAAATGGAACAGTGCAAATAGAATGAGAGTGTACGTCGGTCAAAAAAGTTTGATGGGTTTCTCGTCCAATCTTCCTTCTTTCTTAAACACTTTTTGAGTTTGAATGTGTCATCATCATTAAACACTTTTCCCCACAAATCCAACTCTGCTAATAAATCGTATTGGGTTCCTAACTTCCTCTCATGTCAATCATAAATTCATTATCTTTAAGAAAAAGGACAAAACTTTAAGGATGACCAAATCAGGAATGCACGAAAAACCGGGACGAGACAAGACGAGATTAGTGTTAAGGATAAATTATGTTAATAAGGGGTGTATTTGACTTTGAATCTCATTTTGGATCTCTCGTTTTTTGGATGATATTGGACTTTTCATTCTATTTTAAAGAAATTTTGATTTTGCATTCCAACGCTTATCATTTTGTGAAGAAAAATTTCTAAATGAGGTGCAAAGTCAAATGAATTTTAAGTGGAATGAGATGCAAAATCATAGATTTTTTTAAAATGGGGTACAAAGTCCAATATCACCCAAAACGTGAGGTGCAAATTCAAATCCCCCTAATACCTAATAAGTAAATAGTTATCGTAATTAGTTTTTGACCCATACTTTGTATATACGTAGTTTGTCATTGTCTTCATCTTCCCATATTAGGAGATTTTTTAGGACCCTGCAAAGTTCAAAAAAGAAGTTTGGGGAGTTGGTAGCTCATAAATGTTTTTCTAAACTTGCTATCAAATTTCAAATTTTCAAAAGATCTACTTTCAACATCTAGGCCACAATTAAATAACAAATTCATATAAGAGAAGTGGATGATAAGAAACGGATCGGACGTCTCTGCCTTAGTTAAGCAGTCACGGAGGGTGCCTGGTTGTTTTCTCCGTCAGATCAGAAATTCGACGGCTGAAGATCTTGAGCTCCACCCCTTTGCTGATCTCGTGATCCTGCTCGTAGCTTCCCTGCCGTCGGATGGCGCAAGGCACTTTGCTCCACCCCTTTGCCATATTTAGGCAGGAAAAAGATTGAAGTGAATCTAATCAAATTTTTTAAATCTCCACTATGCAAAGGACTAATGTAAGGGTATTAATTGTAGTTGGTTAACCAGTTTCATTCCAAAATCAAATTTGCATAGATTGGTTCAAAATGGTATGCTTAGAAGTCACACAAATGAAATTAAGTCTTTCCTAACCAATGCAAAGAGATTGGCAAGATTAAAGTTATGTTATAGCCAAAATGAAAAATTAGTTCTGTTGGGTTAATGGTCCAACAAGGGCCGGCCGATCAACCCATAAGGGCCTCCTATGAACGGTCCATCAATCCATAGGGATTTCCGACGAACGTCCTCAGAAGGCCCACGAGGATTTCCTACGCACGTCCTGTTGGAAACCCAAGACAAGGGGTTACCTGTCCGCTGATTCGGGAGGAGGTTCATCCCAAATGAGAGACAAGCCTTAGGGGACGTACGTACCCCATGGTCCAGGTATCCAGACCCAAGACTCCCGCAGGGTACATGGGGACGAACGTCCCCACCCCTTGATAGGGGGCCAAGGGTAGCTCACGGATTAGATCAAGGATAACTCAAGTGCTTGGGGACGAACGTCCCCGCCCCTTGATAGGGGATCAAGACTCCAGAAGGAGACAGGAGCCAAGCCCTTGGGGACGAACGTCCCGACCCCGTGGCGGGAAACCGAGATCCTGGCAGGAAACACATTTAATGCAGAAGATTTGGTGGTTGGGATCATGTCGTCCACAACCAGCCACGTCAACACATCTAACCACCCATTGGCAGTATAAATAGTAGCATTTATTTCACTGTAAAGAGTTCGCAATTTAGCACTCTAGCATTCTAGCAATTGTATCAGCATGTAGCACAACACTGTACGAACGGCCCTTCGACTTTGTAATCGAATCAGTGTATTGAAGCTCATTTTGGGCTTTTCCTTGCTTGTTCTTCATCTAACTCACTAAACCATCCACTCGAGACCCTTGGGTTACGTGTTGGGCCCACGAGTCGAAGGAATAAACCTCAACACTGGCGTCATCTGTGGGAAACTGATCAAAGAGTTCTTTCAAACTAAGCTCTCAGCTAAGAAATCACTCCAAAAACCACCAAAAAAACAAGTGAGATGGCAGCTAACAACGCAGGAAACTCCCAATATCTCTCTTCGCGGCTAGCTCACAGCAGGAAGAGCCGCAACCAGGCAGTAGGGCCCCAGTCCAGCAGCCTATGGTCTCGCGGGGACTTCGGGTTACTCACTGACTTGATCCCTCAGGAAGTCCGGCGGGATCCGAATGCCTTAAGGGAGATAGTAGACACCATTCACCGTTTGGCTGACGAACGGGAGGCGGAACGTGTGTACTCCGCTAACACATAGCGAACAACGTTCTCCCCCCTCCGTTCGATGCAGACGCTCGACAAACGTACTGGTGAGAATGATGATTCTCGCCAATCGGTGCATACCAATATCAACAATGATCAAACCGCGATATGGGAGGCAACGGGGGGACCAGGCTCTTCAGAGGGGTGCGGCGGCACACGGAACGAGACCACACCTCGGTGATGCCCCACAATGATCAAACCGCGAGGGAGCACCCCCTGATGGAAGGCATGAAGCAGGAGGCCCGTGTCATCCATGGAAAGCATAACTTCCGGGTCATGCGGAGGGATGATGCCTTAGCATTGGTGAACCCCACACCTGTGGTCACCGACCCCCGGGACGCTATGCTTATGAACATGCAGAGGCAGATCGATGAGTTGAGCCGACAGACGGATACAAACCCGGCTCAGCCCAGGATCACTCTATCTTCTCATTTCTCCGCCATGATCATGGCGGTGGAAATTCCTAGAGACGTCAGCCCCCCCTGCGACACTGATTTACAATGGGGTCGGGGACCCCAAAGCTCACTTGATTTCCTTCCAGGGAACGCTTTCCATGCTGGGAGCCTCCGATGAGGCCACCTGTAGGTTGTTCTTCAGCACCCTCAGAGGACCAACACAGGAGTGGTTCGGACAACTCAGGCCCGGATCCATTGACAGCTTTGAACAACTTTCCAGGCAATTCATGGCACAATTCGCCTCCAGTTCTACACCGAAGAAACATTTCAGCTGGTTGACGAACGTCTGCCAAAATAAGGGGGAGTCCCTATCCGCTTTCCTCATCAGGTGGAGGGACGAAACTCTGAAGGTGGAGGATCTTCCGGGAGACACCGACATTACCCTCTTCACCAACGCACTCACCATCGGGGATCTCTACCGGGATCTGAAAAGGAAACCCGGAAATAACTACGTTGAGGTGCTGGCTAGGGCGCAAAAATTCACTGCAATCGAGCAGAAAATTGCTCAACGGGATGGGGTTGCAACCCCTGCAACACTCAAAGTAGCGGACCGACTGGGTCCCGGGCCGGAGGACTCTCCAGCACCAAAGAAAAAAAAGACGATCGGCGGTTATGCTCCTTGGGGCCTGGAGGAACGCTCTGGGCACGACCGTTGCAGGGATACCGGGTATGCTCCTTTGGCCTACCCCGTAAGCCAATTCTTCGGGGCCATCAAGGACAAGGGGCTGCTCGGGGAGCCTGTGCCTAGCAAGGGGTAAACAATGGGCACAAACAGAAAGGCCTATTGCGAGTATCACCGGAAACTTGGGCACCGTACGGATGATTGCCACAGTCTAAATTACGCCATTCAGAAGCTCATCGAAAGGGGTTACCTCGGGGAATTCACCGTAAGGGCACCCCCAGGGTAACTCACAACCTCACATGAAACCCAACAGCTGACGTCGGGACGATCGGCAGGAGGCCTAGGTTAAGGACGTAGATTTCCATCACGGTGACAAGCGGCCCGAAACATCTCTCAGACCGATCGGTTCCAAGAAAAAATTGGAAATCAAGATGATCTTCGGAGGTGCGGAAACCGGGGACACCCCAGCAGAGAGGAAGAAGTTCGAAAGGGCCCTCCAAATCAATTCCATCTCCGCACCCCCCAAGAAGCACAAGGCTGAGCCTATCATATTCGGGCCGACAGACTTGCCCTAGACACCGGGGCCCCACAGGGACGAGCTAGTAATTAGCAGGGATATCAGGGATTGGATTATTCGACGAGTCCTGGTTGACACAAGTAGCAGCATCAACGTCCTGTACTGGGACATTTTCAAGAAGATGCATCTAAGCAGAACTGAATGACCCCCTTGCGGACGCCCTTAGCCGGGTTCACCGACCACAACACCGAAGCCGAAGGAACAATTGTCTTGCCGGTAGAGATTGGAGATGGAGAACACCATGCGACGATCCCCATGACCTTTGTGGTCGTGCGGCTGAAGTGTGCCCACATTGCCATTCTGGGGAGGCCAGGATTGGAAGACCTATAGCCTATCTGCTCCGTACGGCATTCCTGCATCAAGTTCCCCACAGAGACAGGGGTGGGTGTAGCCCGTACGGACCCAGACACAACAAGGGCCTGCTACAAGGAGGCCGTTAAAAAAATGACTGACCGAGGTATGAGGGTCAATAGCATCGCGGAGACCGCCTGGTGGGAAGATGCCTTATCCCGACCGAAGCCGGCAATGCAACTTGAAGAAATAGAACTGGATGATCCTTCCGACCGGAAGGTATCCATTGGGATTGGGTTGGAGCCCGAGATCCGACAGGGCGTAATCTTGGTCCTCCGAAGGTTCAGAATCTTGTTCGCCAGGGGACCGGAAGACATGCCGTGGATTGACCCCGAAATTATCTGCCATAAGTTGGCCGTTCGGCTGGATGCTAGGCCAATACAACAGAAGAAGAGATACATGGCGGTCGAACGGAGAGACTTCATCAAGGTGGAGGTCACCACCTTGCTCAGCATACGCCACATCTGTCCATTCATGCACGTGGAGTGGCTGTCTAACGTTGTTCTGGCTCCCAAGGGACCCACTTGGCGAATGTGCATCGACTATTCCGACCTCAATAAAGCTTGCCCAATGGATCCTTATCACGTGCCAAGGATCAATATTTTGGTGGATGAAACCACAGGTTGCGAGCTGCTCAGCTTCATGGATGCCTTCAGAGGATATCACCAAGTATTCATGCACCCGGACGATGCTGAAAAAACTGCATTTGTCACATCCGACGAGGTGTAGTGCTATGTTGTCATGTCGTTCAGCTTAAGGAACGCGATGGGAACCTTCCATAGGATGATTGGGATATTGTTCAAGGAATTCCTTGTCATACGTGGATGATATCCTGATTAAAAGCAAG